GAATTGACTCAGGTGTTGAACGACATACGAAATATCTGGCCTTGAATTTGTTAGGTAGATGAGTCTCCCAATTAGTCTCCTATAAGAAGAAGGATCCTCCAATAACGCACCTTCAGTGAGAGACAACTTAATATTGGGATCAAATGGCACCGGGGAAGGTTTAGAAGCAAGAACACCAGCATCTTGCAACAATTCCAACGTATATTTACGTTGGTTCAGGAAAATACCTTCTACTGACCGGGCAATCTCTAAACCCAGAAAATATCGAAGCTGTCCAAGGTCTTTAATCTTGAACTGTTGATGTAAGAGATCCTTGACTTTGGTAATCTCTGCTAGAGAGTTCCCAGTCAAGACAACATCATCTACGTATACAAGAAGGGCTGTGAATGCAGAGTCCTTATGTTTAACATATAAGGAATAATCAGCATGAGACTGTGTGTAACCAATAGAAATCAAAAAAGTAGATAATTTGGAGTACCATTGTCGACTGGCCTGTTTAAGACCATAGAGATATTTTTGCAACTTACAAACCTTTGAAGGAGCAAAACCAGTCAATCCAGGAGGTAATGTCATGTATACTTCTTCAGATAAATCACCATGTAAAAAAGCATTATTCACATCAAGTTGTTCTAAGTGCCAACCTTTTATGGAAGCAAGAGAGAGAAGAACTCTGACTGTGGTGAGCTTGGCTACAGGCGAAAAAGTGTCGAAATAATCGATTCCTTCCATCTGAGTATAACCCTTGGCCACCAATCTGGCTTTATAACGTTCAATGGAACCATCTGCTTTGTGCTTGACTTTGTACACCCAACGACAACCAATAGGTACTTTACCAGAAGGTAAGTCCACCACTATCCATGTGTGATTTTCTGCAAGAGCACTAAGTTCAGCATTCATGGCATCAATCCAATATTGTTGTTTAATGGCCTGTTTGTAAGTTTTTGGCTCAGAGGTAGAAGAGATGGAACAGCAGAAATTCTTGTATGAGGGAGAACATTTATCATAAGAAATGACAGAGGAAAGAGGGTAAAGATGATGTTTGAAGGGCTGAGATATGAATTTGTTTTCATCATTGTTAATGTGATAACAATGGAAATCTGTGAGGTAAGTGGGAGGATGAGATATGCGAGTTGATCTTCTAGGGAGGTGATTTGTTTCTACAGGAAGGTTTATGGTGTCAACAAGTTGGTTTATGGAAATGTCTGCAGAGTCATTGCTGAGACCAGTAGACGTAGAACTGGAAGGAGAAGGAGAGTTTGGTGACACACTAGACAAAGGGGAGGCCTGTTGTTCAATGGATAAAAGGGGAGAACTAGGATTAACATGCGTGTTTGGCTGAATGGAGGTGTGTGAAGTATCACTATCAGTGAACTGTGGCTGTGAGCTAGGAGAGGAAGTACCATTATCAAGGTACGCAGAAATATCAGTAGAGGAAGGACTATGATGTGACAATTCAGTGTCAGTATAAAACTGAGTAGGAGAAGTAGAGGAAAATTTTGTTGCTTTTGCACAAGACTCAGTAGTTTTAAGAGGGAATGTGTGCTCATAAAAAACAACATGCCTAGAGACAAAAATACTATTGTTTTGAAGATCATACAAGATATATCCTTTTGTTCCATCTTTAAAACCAAGAAAAACTGTTTTTCGAGCTCTTTGATCAAATTTTGTTTTGTGTTGTTGATTGGATACAACATAGCTGAGACAACCAAAGACTTTGAGGTGAATTAAGGAGGGAGGTTGTTTATACATCATTTCGTATGGGCATTTGAAATTAAGTAGAGGAGTGACAAGTCTATTAATGAGATGAATAGCATGCTGAATACAGAAACTCCACATATTGAGTGGAAGTTGAGACTGAAAATATAGAGCTCTAGCCACATTCAAAATGTGTTGATGCTTGCGCTCAACCACACCGTTTTGTTGTGGTGTGTAAACACACGATTTTTGATGTATTATTCCTTTGGACATAAACAGACTGGAAAGAGCTAAGAACTCAGTCTCATTATCAGACCGAAAACATTTTAGAGCAACATTGAATTGATTTTTTATATAGGCAAGGAAATGAACTATGTGTTGCTGAACTTCAGTTTTAGTTTTCAGAAAAATAACCCAAGTATAACGGCTGAAATCATCAACGAGAGTCAAGAAATATTTATGACCTAGCATGGATATAGTAGAGAATGGACCCCATAGGTCAGCATGTATCAATTCAAATGGAGCCATAGATTTTGAAGTACTATTGGGAAAAGATAACTTCTTTTGTTTGCTAAATTGACAAGAATCACAAGGAAGTTTATTATTACAATTGTAAGGTATAAAAGGAAAAGATTTAGACATATGTTGTAAACCAATATTGGAAATATGGCCTAATCTTAGATGCCAAAGAGAAGTGTTATCATGTGTAGAAGAATGGCAGGCATGGCTGGGATGTGAGGAGTCCAGAACATAAAGACCTCGCTGAAGATTAGATGTACCAATCGTTTCCTTGGAATACTTCTGCAGAATTTTGCAGGAATTGTCAGTGAAATGCACCACACAATCGTTGCTTTGAGCAAGTCTAGCTATGGAGAGTAAATTGACACTAAAGCTAGGGATGTAAAGGACATTATGAAGGGTCAAGGAGGAGGAAATAACAACACTACCAGAAATGGATGTGATGACTTGTGAGCTATTAGGAAGACTAACACTAATAGGCACGATACTTTTGTATGAAATAAAATTAGACTTGTCAAAAGTAATGTGATCTGTAGCTCCTGTGTCAAGGATCCACAAGTGGTTGTTCTTACCATTATCAGAATGAGAGTGGGAATTGAGCACAAAGGGTGAAGAGGTGATGGAGTTGGCTTTGGGAGTGGCTTTGGATTGTTGGATTAGTTCCATAATGCTGTGAAGTTGCTCTTTTGTAAAACCAGAAATGGATTGAGATGGACTGTTATCTGGTGCAGCCTGCCCTGTTTCAATGGAAGCAACAGATTGAGCATTAAATTGAGTGGACTTACCCTTTCCTTTAAAACCTGGTGGATATCCATGTTTTTGAAAACAAGTTTCCACTGTGTGGTTGGTGCGGCCACAGTGGGTGCATAACCTGTTACCACTCTTTGCGGCTCCATAACCATTGCCTTTGCTCTTGAAGTTTCCATGCCTTGGATTGTTATTACCCGTTGCTGCATTGAGATGGAGAGCTGTGGCTGTAGAGTCTTCAGAACTAGAATCTATTGGGACTGCAACTGAAGAAGAATTAAGCTCTCTTTCTTGTTGAATGACAAGAGCAAAAGTTTTGTCAATATCTGGAAGAGGACTCATCATCATGATTTGAGTTTTGGATTGTGCAAACTTCTCATTCAAACCCTTGAGGAAACGAATCACATAATCTTTCTCTCGATATTTACGAAAGGAAGAAAGAGCTCCACAAGAGCATGGAATAGCACAAGCACAGGCAGCAATAGGGCGATAAGCCTCTAATTCATCCCACATCACCTTCATCTTGGTGAAGTAATTAGACACATCAAGATTTCCTTGACGAAATTTGTAGAGTTCCTCTTGAATATCAGAGATGCGGAAGATGTCACCTTGCGAGAACCGAGTTCGCAAGTTTCGCCACACTTCAACTGCACTTTCAATCCAAAGAACCGATTTCGCTATGGACTCAGAGATAGATCGATGAATCCATGCTAAAACCATAGTATTGCATCTGATCCAAGGCGCATAGAGCACATCAGACACAGGTGGTTTTGGAAGCGTTCCGTCGATGAATCTTTCCTTGTTCTTCGAGATGAGAGCAATGTGCATGGATCTTGCCCATGTATGATAGTTCTTATCATTTAGGAGAGGAGTAACAAGGACGAGAGCCGTATTCTCGTTCGGGTGCAGATAATAGGGATTGGATGAATTTGTGGCAAAATCGGTGAAATTCTGGAACGCCATCGAAGAAGGTAAAAAAAAAAAACAAGATCGATTGCAGAGAGAAGTAGTGATTGCAGAAAAGAAACGAATCTCAAGGATGAAGATGAACAATAGCGATTGTATGCAATAACCAGAGCTGAGGAACAAGAAAGCTGCAATCGAAGCGAAAATGGAAGAGTTTTACCATAAGAAAATGCGATGGCTACCAGAGCTTTGAAAGCTCTGATACCATGTTAATGGTGTAAAACATACCATGAAACTCCATGAAGAAGATGAAGCCAATAACAGAAAACTAACTGAATAACAGAATCAGTTAAATGATAGATTTCATATACTTCATTTGATTTATCTCAATAGGTTACAAATGAGCTTATATACAGAATAAAAGAGTGAACCTTATCACAAATGTGTGATAGTAAGCTAAAGGTAAGGTGCTGATGTGGCATTGTAACTAAAAGGTATAAACCTACTATGTATAGTATAAACTATACTCTATACATTGAAGTAAAGCAGTTAGAGGAAAGTACACTATATTAACAGTAGCGGCAACAGCTTGCTAAATAACATAGCGAAAACGACGTTAATATTCTATCGTGGATCTTCCACTTAAAAAAATCCGATTAATTAAGAACGAGACTTTCCACCTAATAACTAGATAGGGCCCAAAAATATGACCTTAACAAGAACATAGATCATATTGCTCTTAAAAATTCAAAATTATTGAATCCTTAACCATTATTTACATCTTTTGATTGACATTTTTCCATCATGTGCTTTTGAGTGGTTAACCATTTATTTAAGTGGTTAGATTGACATTTAGCTTCTGTTTTATCCCCTAGATGAAAAATTAGGCCCTTTGCCCCTGAGCAAAGTGAGGGAGTTGAATTTATTGCTGCTGGTACATGATGCTATGACAGATCTAAGTCACTAGAACAATAAATCCTGATCCATAAAATTTTTTTGGCATATAAATTGAATAGTTGTTTTCATTTCATCAAAATCAACTAATCATTAATCTTACACTACATAACTTCCGAAAATCACAACTCCAAAAACCAAAAAGATTAAACAAAACAAAAAACATCACATAATCTCTATCAAGCAAACAAAGCAGTTTGATTAGAGATATTGTTATTGCTAGCAGATGATCCATGAGGATGAACTGGTGGCTTGCTACCCATAAAGTTCCTTCCATTACCCCTTCTTGCATTCAATGAAGAACATGAACCCCTTGAATTTGCTGAATACACCCCCTTCCTTGACATGGCACTAGTTGATTTAAAAATACACATAGAATCTTGGTTCTCATAAAACCCTCCATAGCTTTTACATGACTTTAACTTCTTGTTATAAGGACTCTCTGGCTTCACAAGATCCTCTAAACTTTGAACATTCTTTAATGATGTAAAAGATTGTGACTTTCCTTGGTAGAATTTTGAAAGTCCCCTTCTGTAAAAAATAAATAAAAAAGACACAAACTTTAGCATAATCTTGAGAAATTACAATAGCCCAGAAATGAAAATGGAAAGAAAAAGTAAAACCCATATCAAAAAAGATGAAAAAGAACAAAGAAGCTTACTTGATTGGAAGTTGTTGAAACAGAGAAGACATGTCATTTAATGAAGAAGATGAAGTCGGAGATGTGACATCTTCAAATGAATCAGATTCTGATAATTCTAAAGATGAATTATCATTTGAAAGATCAGAATCAGAAGATGAGGAAGAGAAGAAAGATTCATCTATATTATCATCATACTCTTCATGAAATGGTCTTTTCTTTGGTGATTCAACCATAGGATTGTTCATTTTTTGCTCCATATTTGATCTTCAATATAACAAAGAACTCTACTTTTTCTTAAAGCATGAAATGGGATGATATATTTTGGGGAATGTTTGGTTTGTGTTTTGTATATATATATATAAGAAGAAGAAAAAAGAAGGTATGAGGTGGTGGATAAGACCAAGATTTATTTTGATTTTTATAACGTAGTAGTACTTTATTAGAAATTATTCTTGGTTGGAAAGAAATAGTAAGATTCGGGTTTATCCGAATAAGAGTATGGTTTATCTTGTCTCTCTTGAGACCCACCCAATTATTATCCTCTTAACCTAGCCAAATATGGTACACTCTTTATGTTTATGTTCACGTTTATTTTCTCACATATCGCTTTACCGCTTTATTATTATATCTTTTATAAATAAATAATCTTTTACACGTAATTGTAGAGACTTTTAAATATTTTTCGCTTTCCTCTAACATAGAGAGATATTTTATTTATAAAAAATATTAATTATTTGAGAAATTTAATAAATAAATTATTTATTTGTAAAAGTTACTAGAAGGAGAAGTTTGTTTTGTATGGAAAAATAATGATTTTGGAAAATAAATTATAGTAATTGATATTTTTAGATAATTATCATGTATAGAAAAATAATAATAATAAAATAATTGGAGAAGAGAAGGACGCGTGGAAAGTGAAGGTCCCAAGGAGTGTGGATAAGTTCAAAAAGTGTTGACGTGGAAATTTAGAAGCTTAGCTGTTTGTTTTTTTTGAACCAATTGGGATTTGAAAGAACGCTATTCTCCGCGGCGCCCACTGAGTGTGGAAAATTGAATGAAGAAACTGAACGGACAAACAAACCATTAAAAGTTAAAACACCCTTTATCTTTCTTTTTCAGGACAATGAAGTCCCCACATTATTTATAACTTCTTTTTTGTTTCCCACCATTTCAAAACCTAAATTTTTTTTTATGTTAATAAAATAAATTTTCACAAAAAATATTTTAGCCTAAAATCTTAAAAATATATTATTTTAACTAGTTTAGAAATCTCAAATTAGTTAATATCAAATATTTATAGAATTGAAAAGAAGTTTCAATTGTTAAAACCAGATTATAATATTGAATTTTCTGACAATAATCATATGAAAATATTCTTAAGATAAAATAATTTATAATTTATTCTAACATTATCGAATATCAAAAATATTAATAATAAACTAAAAATAAAATCATTTTTATGACACGTTGATGGAAGAGGGATATATCTCAAAGTGTTAATAAAAAGAAAGAATATTTTTTAAGAAAAGAGTTAGACATAAAATTTGAAATTATTATTTTAAAATTTTAGATAATCTCATATTACTCGACACACATTATTCAAAAATTTCAAATAGTAATATCCGAGCTAATTTTAGCAATGACTCAAAAATATTATTATATTGTATTTGAAAATTTTCTCGAGTTAGAATTTTCAAATAATCACAATTTTCAAAAAAGTTTTCTAAATAACCACTCTTTCATAAAATATATTAGAATAATTATATTTTACACAAAAAAGAATTATCCACACAAAAACAGCATTATTATGTGTGGCGCATGTATTTAAATTAGATAGAAGGCGCCACATTATATGACACGTGATCATCTGTCATGTCATACAATATGGCGCATGCATTGTGTATGTAAATAATAGTAACAATCCAATGTGATTACTCAGTTGTTTTGAATTTTTTTCAATTTCTTTAACAAAAAAAAAAGAATAATAAATACAAATAAAATAATTTATAATAATATTACTTGTAAAAAAGTTACATAATCATCAGATATATTTTTACCGACCCCCTCCACCCAAACGCTCACTTTTAAAACAATAATGCCTTTGTATTTGTCTTTGAGGTCTATGATTCTGATTTTCCTTAGGTGTTTGGAGTGTGTTCTGATTCGCTTGAGACAGAGGTGCTTGATGCGATGGTCCCGGGACAACAGTCGGATCATAAACCTCGTCGACAAATTATCCCCAATTTGCGGTGTTTTCAAAGAGATTGATGTCCATGTTGTCGAAATTGGGTCGTGTTGGTTGGGTTGCGTGTGGGTGGAGCGCTTTGTAGAATTGGGTTGATGAATCATTTTGGAAACGAAGCAATGGTTATTGGGGTGTTTGAAAGGCATGTCATGGTTGAGTGCTTTGGTGGTGTGATGTTTGACTGTACATTGGTTGGGTGTTATCGTGGGAAGGGGAGGTATCATATGTGTCATCAATCTTGTGGTAAGATGTGGTGGCAATATATTATTGGTGGCAGTCTGAGTCATGCTCTTGGTTTTGTGTTTGTGTGTGTGGCATAAAGTGTTGGCGCATTTTGGTGGATGTGGTGGCGTAAGGTTGTTGGGTTTGGGTGAGTTGACAATGTTGTTGGGTTTGGTATTTTTGTGGAGTTGGTTGTTGGGTATGATGAAGCTCTTTGGCGTCGGTCGATCAAATATGTTGGCAAAGACAAAAAAATTTGTTTAAACCGATGTATACCAATTTATATAAAAGTGAGTTGGTCTAACATCTTCCTACAAGATTGGTTCGTTTATGGCCAGTTCACGTCGGTGCCTCCATTGACGACATGTATCTCTAGCGAAGTCTCTCAAATCAATAAATCTCCATTGGTCATTTACTCTTAATTGATGTTGTTAGGTCAATGATTTTATGGCTGACAACAATTTTGGTAAAAATAAATAGTTGACAACAATTTTATCAAAACGTGTTTCATTGGGAAAAACATGTATTGCAACCTAATATTGAACAAGATGTCATAACATCTTGACCAACTGGTACAACAAAGTCTACTGGTACTTATTTGACAGATGTTTTATCAGATGTTATAATATGTTGCAACAGAACATCATGACAGTACAGCTGGATAGTTTCCTTGAAGACTTGATTGAAAAATATGAGATTCTGGAGGTTTCTAGTATTCATAACAGGCGCAGTCAATCAAGAATTTTTAGGAACAATTACAAATTTGATTTGTTTCATAAAAATAATCTTTGAGACTTTTTAGAAAATATTTGAAAGATTTGTTTTTTGTTTCTATTTTTATGGAGAAGATTATGCATGGATTTAGAGCTGAATATTGGATATGATTGAAGAGTTCAAGCTCAAGTGCAGAAGTCTATATAAGGAGACGTCCAAGACCTAGTTTTTTAAGAAGTATAGCTTTATTGTAGAACCTTGTGAAAAATAAGGGTTTAGAGTTTGAGAGTTTCTTAGTTTCTCCGTTTATTACTTGTACGTCCTTATGTATCTTTGATGCATTTAAGTTGATTGATCGTTACTTGTTTATCAAGTTATTATTCTCCTCTAAGCTTTTAAGCAAATAGTTGAGTATTGTTCTTAGTGAAGCTTTTAAGTAAACTAAGTATTTTTGTATTGGAAGTGTAATCTTTTTTTTGGTTTCTTGAGACATTTCCTGGGATTGGGATTTTTTATATCACTGCGGTGATTGGGAGTGAGAGGGGTTCTCATATCTAGGAGGTTCCTATGTAAAAATTGTATTGAGTATGGATTAAGTGAGAAGTTGTAAATTGGGATTATTTAGCTTGAAATTGATATTACTGATAATGGATTTCCTTCCTGACTTGGTAGCCCCCAGAATAGGTGAGTTGCACCGAACTGGATTAACAATTGATTGTGTTCTTTAAGTTTCTGCAATTTACTTTTCTGCATAATCTTTATGTTTTTAGCAAGTATGTTTTTCTGTCATCAGATATTATAACATCTGTCGTGGCATTGTGTGTTGTTGAGACATCAGTCTTGACTTCTGATATTTCAAGTTCCAGAATTTTAGATGCCATTCTCCCAAACACATCGAAGGATATGGGATACCTTGATGCATGAAAGAGAGTCGTCATTGTACATTGATATAATGCCCCAACATTCTTCATACTGAAAGGCATAACCATGTAATAGAAAGTTCCCCACGGGGTAATAAATGTTGTCTTTTTCATATCTTTAGGAGCCATATTGATCTGGTTATACCCAGAAAAGCCATCCATAAAGGAAAAAACTAAAAATTTAGATGTATTATTAACTAGTACGTCAATATGAGGTAGTGGAAAGTCATTTTTCAGGTTTGCTCTGTTCAAGTCCTGGTAATTAATGCACGTTTGTACTTTGCCATCTTTCTTCGGTACTGGCGCGATGTTTGCAACCTAATGAGGATAATTATCAATGGCTAAGAATCCTGCATCGAGTTGCTATTGAACCTCTTCTTTTATCTTGATAGCCATGTTCGACCGAGTTCTTCTAAGCTTCTGTTTGACTAGCGGACATTCCTCTTTTAGGGGAAGCCCGTGTACCATAATATTTGTATCCAAACCTAGCATATTCTGGTATGACCATGCAAACACGTCCACATACTCACGCAGGAGCTCAATTAACTTTCTCTTCACGACATCGTCTAGGGCAGCGCCTATCTTGACCTCTTTCTTGTCGTCATTGTCATACCCCAAATTTGTCTGCCCCATTTATAACAGTCGAGTCATTCTCAAAATTGATTTTTTTTAATATATTTTTACTAACATCTAGCTTTAGTTTTAGTTTATTTAAAAACTAATTAGCTAGATTTTAAATTATTTGTCTAGTTCAAAATATGTATATTTTTACTAATATAAGTTTATCCATATAATAGTCTATTTTAGATTATTTTTATTCTTTCTAAATAATAAAAATACATCATCCTTCGTATGTTTTCTAATGTTATTTAATTACGAATAAATGAGATGGCACAGTTGGTAAGAATACATGTGCAAGGAGTTTAGGTATAAGATCGTGTGTTTGAGTTTCATTGCACTATTTTTGGTATTTATTTTCTTTTGTGTGTTTTTCAATAAAAAGGATTAAAAAAATCATTCTTCAATTATTTTATTATTATTTTTGTTTTCTATTTTTGGGGTTTTTTATTTTTTATTTTTTATTTTTTTAAATCTTTGATTTTATGCACTTAATAGTTAAAATTAAGAAAATAAATAACATATGTCAGAATCAAAT